TGAGCAGAGGGGAATGAGCTCCTAGTCCTAAAGTATCCATCCCACCCCTGAGGACCTTCTGAGGAGTCCAGCTCTTCAGTGATGGCCACTCGGACAGTGACGATTGAACCCAGAGAGCCCCCTGAGCACCTTATGAGAAATCACAGCCCTCAGAAGGAAGGGTACCCGTGTCCCTTCTAAAGAAGATAGGGGCTGCCCCAGACCTCACACACATCCTGCCAACACCTTTGTGAAAACAGTAGAGAAAGACTAAGGGCAGCTCCTACTGATTTTGCAGATGGTGTCAGGAAAGACTTACTCTTGCCCTCCAGTGAGTATCTGACTTTGGACACCCAGGGAATCCTGGGTGGGCAGACGTTTTCTGGGCTCAGGCAAGGCAGAGTATAAAGGCTTGGATCCCTTGTACTGAGGAAGGGATGGAGGTCCCTGAGTCCCCTTGACAAGGATGTTTCTTGGCTCCTCTTCTTTCAGGCCGTTCAGCAAGGGACCATCCAGTGCAACTTTGCCGGGGTTGCCTTGGGTGACTCCTGGATCTCTCCCATTGGTAAGCACGAAATTTTCAGACATTTTAAAACTCCCTTTCCCCACCCTTCCCTGGGACTTTGGGCTGTATTGTCTAGATCAGAGAACAAGGCAGTGAAATTCTCTAGGTCCTTGGAGAAGTCAACACAGAAGTGTTTGCCCCCAGAGCATCCAGGAAATTTAGGGCTGAGAACTCATTTACAAAGCACTTACCATGGGCTGCCATGGGCTGGACAGAATTCTCTTGCTTGATTCTCACAACAGAAGAATTGAATTTTACAGTTGAAGACATTCTTGAGTCTCGTAGAGGTGATGGAGTTGCCCTCTGACCCACAGAATGAGTGGCCTGGGCAGGAGTCAAACCCACATCTGCTTGTCATCTTATCCTCTCTGCTTCTCGATGCTAACGTGGACCACTGGGGTGAAATTCCCACCTGCTGGTCCTATCGATGCCCAGGGCAGCACTGATCACAGAGGCACCCACACACTTCCCTCGTAAACATTTGGCAGAGCACCAAGTGCTGAGAAGCGATGCCCCTGGCTCTCAGAAGAGGGGACTGGTGGGAGAAGAAATAGAACGTTTTCCCCCTTGCAGCTGTCAGAGAGTGATTATGTCAAATGGGATTTCAAGGAGCCGCAAATCCATCTGGTCCTGTGACTCGGAGGCTCGCAGTTTCATAAGCTGAGCATCCTTGTTGGAGTATAGACAAAAGCTGTTTGTATTGCAGACACCCAGGGTGTGGCTTCAGGCATCTGAGATAGTCACCGTGTAGGGTTAACTCTAACGAGGATTTCTAAGTCTCAGCACTGTTGACGCTTTGAGTCGTACACGATTCTTTGTCGTTGGGGGCAGGGGCATCTTGGGCTTTGTGGGATGTTAGGATGTTAGCAGCATCTGGACCCTTTAGATGCCAGTAGTTCCGCCCCAGTGTGACAACCAGCAGTATCTCCAGACACTGGCAAATGTCCAGCTTCCTAGGCTGTCTGTGCTCTGTACCTTCACTGGGGTGGTCGTTACATGAGTGTATACGTTAATCAAAACTCTTCTAAATGTATGCTTATTGCTTGTGATGTGTGACTATGCCTCAGTTTTTTAAAAGAGTAATTTGTTTAAATTTTTAAGTAATATTTTCCCCCTAAAAAATGGAGATTCGGCTTCTTACAGAGCCACATCCCTGATGGATCCAAGACATGCTGATCCACTTGGAATGGTTATTTCTTGCACTCAGTCTCGGCATCTCCAGGGCGGGACTGAAATGACAGACCTGAGAGCCGAGTCCGCATTGCGAGAAGGGCTGCTCTTTGTGTTTCCTCCCTGGATGTACCTCCTAGGAGAAGCCTTGACCCGGGGCGTGAGGGGCCAGCAGGGTTCCTGCCAGGTATCTCACTCAGAGTGACGACAGGTTCTCATCACAGCTGCGTAACAACGCTAAACACTTCGTGTGTGCTAATAACTTCATCTCACGCTTACAACAGCTCCGTGGGATGGAGGCTGTTATTACCCCAGTGTTTGGAGGTGATGAAACTGCAACTCAGAGAGGTTAAGCACTTTTCCTAAAGTCACCCAGCTAAAGCCAGGATTCACATCCAGAGGCCGCAGGCACTGGAATCCGTGCACTTCACCATAACCCTGCTTTCCTCCCCGAGACCAGCAAGTGCAGCCTCGTGGCTTTGCACGTGCCCTTCACCCTGCCCCAAATCTCCCTTCTTCACCTTGCCACCTCCCCCTGTGAGTCCTCCTGCCCAGATCTTAGTCCCTCCTTCCACGTCCACCTTAAGTATCAGTCTTCCATCCCAGAAGCACACTCTTTTTGAAGGAGAAATACTGCTAATTTTCATGAGCAGGTATTAATTGCTTGCTAGGTAGTAGGTGTTGTTCGAGGTGCCAGGAAAGGTGTACAGACACGCTTCATGTCTTCAAGGGGATCTGCACAGTTCAGTGCGGTGGCCATAGCCGTGTGTGACTATTTAATTTAAATTAATTAAAATATGAGAAAATTTTCGGTCTTTCATTTGCACTACCCCCATTTCAAGTGCCCAGTAGCCGCATATGACTGTTGCCCACCCAGATACAGAACATTTCCATCAGTGCAGAAAGTTCTGTTGGACATCTGAGGTTCACATCAGAGGTCATCAGACTACGAGCTCCAAGTCAAGTCTGTCCGGCCGCCCTGCTTTGTTGAATAAGGTTTTACTGGGACACAGTCCCACCCGCTCATTTACATGTTGTCTGACTATTTGGAAGCAGCAACAACAGTAATTGCAAAAGAGACCGGCTGGCCTGCAAAGCCAAAAATATTTGTCATTTGTCCCTTCACAGAAAAGATTTGTCAGTCCCTGGTCCAGCTCGAGCAGGGAGTGGGTGCTTTGGAGAACTGTAGACGAATGTTTATATTAAGAACCTAAGGCACAGGCCTGATGGTTCAGCTGGAGAGGTGAATGGCAGCTGGGTCCCAGAGGACCTGGTGTGCCTGCACTTCTCAGGGTGTACTCTGAAGAATACCGATCCAATGAGGTGCTGTACAGAGGGCCCCGTGATCAAATGAGTTTTGAAAGTGCTAAATACTGGCTCCTCCCCCTCAAGGTTCACAGGCAGATTAAAGGCTCTGAGAAGTCCTGCAGTAAAGAAATGTGTTGTCTTTTGCATAACCCCAAAGGTGTTTAACCGAAGACATTTTTTTCTTCTAACTCCCAGGTTAACATTCGGCAGGACTGCGGTTATTTGAAACATACTTTGAGATGCTTGGGCTTAGGGGGAACCATTGAAGGCTTTTAAGCAAAGGAGTGACATATTCAAATGTGCTGTCTAAGTTATGGTCCTTGATATCTTGTTGGAATGCCTCTCGGTGGCACTGGTGGCACTAAACTTACCTAGTGTTCTGTAATTGTGAACTTGTCCAAACCCAACTCTTCTCTTTGAGGGCAGGTGTGGTCTTATATTGATATCTTTTAAAGCTTCTTATTGGCTTCAGGCACTTTGTAAATTCTCGATTTATTTTTGGAATTGAAATGAATTGATTGGCAGGGTGGCCACAGACACTTGAATTACGAAATCATTAGCCTTCTTCCTTAATTAGCTCCTTGGTGGAAGCTGGTGTCCCTAGATTGGAGGCCCGAGCAGGATGCAGAGCGGAACTGTGAGGGCGGGGAAGTATTTTCAGCTGTCAGAAAGTCCTAGAAGTCTGCAGATAAGAGCCTCCGCTGCACCCGCACGGCCGGCCTGTGGTGCCATCACTGGTGATGACTCAGTTGCTGGGCCAGTACCAGGCCAAGTGAATGTGTCATTAGTCCTGAGTCAACAGAAAGGCTCCCACAGCCTCGCCCCGCCTCCCAGCCGCTGGACATCAGCCCTGCATGGACACCGGGGAGTTAAGGTGTCCATGGGTGGGCCAAAGCCACTAGGTTTCTTGCTTTGGAAGGAAAGCTGGTTAGGTATTTTGGGGGGAAGGACAGAGCCACAACAAACATTTTATATGTATGTGATTTCCTTTAGATTCGGTGGTCTCCTGGGGACCTTACCTGTACAGTGTGGTGAGTATATGAGCCCCACTTCTGTCCCTTTGTGTAACAGCCCAGTTGACCTCTTCTGGCTCTGTCCCCAGGAAGGACAAAGCTAGTTTGGGTTTGCCTATGCGGTGGACACTGCTCCCTAAGGACATGTCAAATAATCCATATCAAATTGAAGACCCCACACAGCGAAAACAAATGTTGACAATGAATACATGTGTGTT